TTTGTTCTATGAAGACCTGCAAAGATGCTGGGAGAGGTTCATGGCATTATACTCCGACGATCAAGTCAGTTAAGTGATATAAAAGGTTGTATGATAATGTTGAAAATCATGGTATGCATGAAGTAATCAAAGAAATAGAAACGAGTAAAGCTATGAACATTTGTTCTTCTCTTGTATTCATTGCGGCGGAATTACAGAGAATGGATCAATCAATCATTAGACCTAGCACTACTCACATATATATCAAGTAAAGTAGCCTATAGTATATGGACACATGTCCTCATCATCTATCAACTAAGGTTTTGATCCTACGGTTTTGGTTGGTGCAAATTCACAGCTGTCTTTTGTCTTCAGCTCATTCAACTCGTGCAAATGGACAAAATGTCCATCACATGCAGTGCTCGTGCCTCTTCCATGCACAGGTAAGTTTTCTTTACCTTTAACTTGTAATGTGCCTTTTTTACTGCATGAAAAACCTGTTGCTTCCAACACTCCCCCGCAATCTAAGCCTGGTTGAGCTGACACATTTAACTTCTCCCTCAACTTGGTGAAAGATTGCTCATTCAATGCTTTGGTTAACACATCTGCTATCTGAAATTGAGAAGGAACATGCCTTACTTCAAGGTCCTTAGCTGCTACCTTTTCTCTTACAAAATGGTAATCCAATTCCACATGTTTGGTCCTCCCATGCAATACTGGATTAGATGCCATTGCAATCGCACTGAGATTATCTATCCATACTACAGGTTTTTCTTGTTCTTGAACATGAAGTTCATTATACAAACTCTTTATCCACATGATTTCTGAAGTCACATGAGCAAGACTCTTGTACTCAGCTTCTGCACTGGACCTTGAAACTGAGCTTTGCTTTCTGGAACTCCAAGACACTAAGCTTCCTCCAACATACACACAAAAACCACTTGTTGATCTCCTGTCATCCAAATCAGCTGCCCAATCTGAATCACAGAATCCTACTACACTGAGATCATTAGTCTTAAGGATCTTCAGTCCAAATGATATGTTGCCTGCCACATACTTCAAAATCCTTTTTATTGCCTTCCAATGCTCATCATTAGGATTGGACATATATTGGCTGACTTTGTTCACAGAAAAAGCAATCTCAGGTCTAGTGATAGTAAGGTACTGCAAACTTCCTACCATTCTTCTGTACATAGTGGCATCCACACTGGAATTTGAGAGATTCTTCTTGAGAATGCAGTTTGTGGACATTGGAGTTTTTGCACTCTTTGCATTGTACATAGAAATTTTAGACAAAAGGTCTTGAGCATACCTTTCTTGAGATAGAAACATCCCTTTCTCAGTCCTATGAACTTTCATGCCCAAGAAATGATTAATCTCACCCAAATCTTTTAATGAAAAATTTGCACTGAGTTGAGAAATAACCTGTTCAACTTCTTGATTGCTGCTCCCTGTAACCAGAATATCATCCACATAGATTAGGATCATCACAATTGACTGAGGAGTTCTCCTGAAAAACAAGGAATTATCAGCTTGAGAGCAACTGAAGTTCATCTTGTTGAGAGTGTCTTTCACTTTAAGGAACCAAGCTCTTGAGGCTTGCTTTAAACCATAGATGGCCTTTTTCAGCTTACACACTTTCTTGGGATATGTCTTGTTATAGAATCCAGGAGGCTGCATCATGTATATTTCTTCTGAAAGTTCTCCATTGAGGAATGCATTGTTTATGTCTAACTGCCTAACTGCCCAATCATAGTGAACTGCAAGAGTAAGAATTATTCTAATGGTAGAGTGTTTTACCACTGGACTAAAGGTTTCTCTAAAGTCAAAACCAGCAGCCTGAGAATATCCTTGAGCTACAAGTCTAGCTTTATATCTTGAAATTGTTCCATCAGAATTCCTTTTAAGCTTAAAAATCCATCTACAGCCAACAATGTTTCTGTTGAGTGGTGGATCTGTGAGAACCCAAGTGTTGTTGTCAATCAGTGCCTTCAACTCTGATGTCATGGCCTTCTTCCAATGAATTGACAGTAGAGCTTCATCAAGATTATTTGGTTCTCTTTCTTGGATATCAACAATAAGAGCTCTTGGTTTAAAAACCCCAGCTTTGGCTCTTGTAACCATATGATGTCTGTTTGACACCCTCAAAGATCTTGTTGAAGATGAGTTTGGTTCTGGATTATCATTCATCTCAATAGGCAAATCCACAACTAAAGGAATTGTACTATGACTGGATTGAGAGTTAATAGATCTTGGACTATGCAAAGTGTGATTTGAAGGTGACTGGTTTGGTGAGTTTGGAGTTTCTGTTGTAGGATTTTGTGAAGGGTTTTCTGTATGTGAAGGGGCAGATTGGGTTTGCACAACAGGAGGGTTATTAATGCACTGTGGTTGGAAGGCATAAGGATTAATGTGTTCAATACTGGTGTTCTTGGTGTATGGATAGACATTTTCATCAAACAAAACATGTCTTGACACTATCACTTTACCAGAAGGCAACAAAATTTTATAACCCTTATGAGAGTTACTAAAGCCTATAAAAGTTCCACCAACAGACCTAGGTTCAAGTTTGTGTTTATTAAAAGGTCTCAACAGAGGGAAAGCAAGACACCCAAAAGTTTTAAACCTGCTGAAATCAGGTTGATGATTGTAAAGGACTTCCAAGGGGGTCTTAAACTGTAAGGACTTGGTTGGTAATCTGTTTATAATATAGCAAGAGGTTGAAAAGGCATCATCCCAAAATTTCAATGGTAAGGAAGCTTGGTTAAGTAAGGACAATCCCATCTCAGTGATATGTCTGTGCTTTCTTTCTGCTGTTCCATTTTGCTGTGGTGTGTGAGGACATGAAATCCTATGAGTGATTCCATTTTCTTGTAAAAAGGGTGTAAGTGATCTGTATTCTCCCCCCCAATCACTCTGAAGGATTTTGATCTTATGACCAAGCTGAGTTTCAGCCATGCTTTTGAAGTGAAGAAAAATATTATGAACTTCAGATTTTAGTTTCAAAAAATAAATCCAAGAAAATTTGGTGTATTGATCCACAAAGATGACATAATAAGCATGGCCATTTCTGGACTTTATGGGTGAAGGACCCCATAAGTCTGAATGAACTAGTTCAAGAGGAGCATTATATTGGGTTTCTGAATCAACAAAGGGTAGTCTATGAATTTTAGATACAGCACACACAGAACATAAACCATTCACTGCATTATTTTCAAAAGGTTGATTACAAGATTTCAGAACTTTCTTGACAATGTCAAGATTACAATGTCCAAGCCTTTTGTGCCACAAATCTAAAGTGGACTGATTCTTAAAACTAGTGAAGAAAACTAATGGTGAAGATTGAAATTGGTTGCTGGTTTTGGATTTGTGAGAGACTGAATTTGAAAGCTCAAACTGATAGAGTCCTTGGTTAAGATCCCCTTGGAGTAGAACCTCCTGAGTTACTTGGTCCTTCACAAAACAATGAAAGGGATGAAATTCAAAAAACACATTATTATCTAAGGCAAATTTAGACACACTCAAAAGGTTTTTGGTTACACTAGGAACATGCAGAAGGTCTTTTAGAACAAAAATTCTGTTTGAGATTTTTAGATGAGATTTACCTATATGAGAGATGTTTTCTCCAGAACCATTTCCCATATGAAGTTTGCTGCCTCCTGCATACTCATTAGCAATGCTCAAGTTGGTAAAGTCATTAGTCACATGATTGGTTGCTCCACTGTCAGGGTACCACTGGTTCATCTCATTTGAAGCCTCTGATGGAGTGAAGTGTTGAGTGACCATGTTGGCTGAAGGACCATTAAATCCTCTTGTCGAGTTCTCAGGGGCACTTCCCATATAGCCACTATCATATCTGTACCAACACCTCTCTGCAGTGTGTCCTGACACTCCACACACTTGACACTGAATTTTTCCTCTAGAGAACCTTCCTCCTCTTCCTCTATTTGGGCCTCTACCTCCTCTTCCTCTGAAGTTTTGGTTGAAGGGAGCTCTACCTCCTCTGGTTTGAGGTGTACCTCTATTAGGATTCTGAGTCATCACAGCATTGGCCATGGGATAAGAGCCATCATTGTTTACCAGAGGTGCAGCAAGACCCACTGATTCCAATCTTGATTCAAAACTGAGGAGTAGGGCTTGAAGATCTACCATTGACCATGGTTCAACTCTTGAAGACACAGTAACCATGATAGGATTATATTCTTGCCCAAGACCGCTAATCAGGTGCATGATCTGATCCTTTTCTGAAACCATATGACCAGCTGCAGCTAGAGAGTCAAACAAAGCCTTCATCTTGCTTATGTATTCTTTCATGGTCAGAGATCCCTTTTTGAGGCTTTGCATTTCCATCTTGTATTGCATCACCCTTGCTAGTGATTGGCTGCTGAAGTTTCTTTGAAGAGCAGACCAAATATCTTTGGATGAACTTAAACCGACCATCAATGGGAGAATACTGTGACCTAGAGAAGAGAGAATCCATGAAGCTAAAAGGTGATCTTGCCTTTGCCATGTGGTATACTCTGGATTCTGTGAGATAGGCACAGCTGGATCTGTGGTCAAGAACCTTTCTGGTGGTAGGCTGGTTCCATCAATGAACCCTTCTAGACCATACCCCTTGATAGCCATTTCCACTTGTTGTTTCCAGATGAGGAAGTTTCCATCATCGAGCTTCACAGTCACTAGTTGATTATTGGGAGAGATGAGCTGCAATGAGCTAGGGGTCGATGGATTCATGGTTGAGCTAGCTTCAGACATTTTTTTTTTTTTTTTTTTTNTCAAAGAAATAGAAACGAGTAAAGCTATGAACATTTGTTCTTCTCTTGTATTCATTGCGGCGGAATTACAGAGAATGGATCAATCAATCATTAGACCTAGCACTACTCACATATATATCAAGTAAAGTAGCCTATAGTATATGGACACATGTCCTCATCATCTATCAACTAAGGTTTTGATCATACGGTTTTGGTTGGTGCAAATTCACAGCTGTCTTTTGTCTTCAGCTCATTCAACTCGTGCAAATGGACAAAATGTCCATCACATGCAGTGCTCGTGCCTCTTCCATGCACAGGTAAGTTTTCTTTACCTTTAACTTGTAATGTGCCTTTTTTACTGCATGAAAAACCTGTTGCTTCCAACAGATAATTAGAAAATATTGAAAGCATAGAATATATAAAGTGTGATTAACCTTTATGTTCTCCAAATTTTACCTATTTATAGAGAGTTATTGGCTTCTTGAACAAGTCTTGGTTCTACCCGACTGCCCGAAGGCCTACCGACTTGCCAGATTGCCCTAGACGGTTGTCCGTCTGTTACTAGACTACTTGTAGGCTGTAGGTCTGTCCGTCAGTTACTTAGTTCTACTTTCGTCCGTCAGATAATCTATCTCTTTTATTTGTGGCCCTATACGTGTCATTTATTAACAGTCTGGACTCGATCTATTATGTTGGTCAATTCATTTCCTATTCGAGCTAATTACCATGTTATCATGGCCGAGCTATCATATGTCCGAATTGTTGACAAACTTTATTTGTCTGGAGCTCCTTAATATTCGACCTATAATTATTCCAAAATTGTTCGACCTATAGTTATTCAACCGAGCTATAGATATACCTTATTTGTTCGAACCCTTTAGTGTCCTAACTAGAGGCGTACCCTACCTATCCGAGTTACCTGAGCCCTCATACTACTAGACCTGGCCTAGCTAATCTTAAATCTACAAACCAAGTTGACCGTGGACGATTCAACCGAGCTATGTTATGTGCTATATCAAAGATAGTATAACAACCTAATTACGCAGTGTAGGGCACACCATCATTTGTGAAGTCTTAAAATACATTTACTTTGGTGTGTACCAACTACCAATCAATTACAACATGTTTCACGGAATTAACTAATTACAATCTATAGCCGTCTCCACTATCATGTAAAATTATAAA